GGATAATAGAGTTGGAAGGAACCTTGTTGGTCTTTTAGTCCAACTCCCTGCTCAAGCAGGAGAGCCTATATCATTTCTGACAAGTGGCTGTCCAGTCTCTTCTTGAAAGCCTCCGGTGATGAAGCACCCACAACTTCTGAAGGCAAGCTGTTCCATTGATTGATTGTTCTCACTGTCAGAAAAATTCTTATTTCTAGGTTGAATCTCTCCTTGATCCATTGTTCTTTGTCTGGCCTTTGGATGCTTTGTAAAATAGGTTGTCCTCATCCTCTCTGTGACAGTCCCTCAAATTTTGGAATACTGCTGTCATGTCATCCCTGGTCCTTCTCTTCATGAGAATAGCCATGCCCAGATCCTGCAACTGTTCTTCATATGTTTCAGCCTTCAGGTCCCTACTTATCTTTGTTGCTCTTCTCTGCACTCTTTCTAGAATCTCAACATCTTTTTTTATAGTGTAGTGACCAAAACTGGATCCAGTATTCCAGGTATGGCTTTACTAAGTCTTTATAGAGCAGTATAATACCTCATGTGATCTTGATTCAATTCCTCTATTAATGCAACCTAGGATTACATTGGCTTTTTTGATTGCTGCCACACACTGCGGACAATCAATTACATATTGAACTTGAAGATCCCTCTCACAGTTACTGCTATTAAGCCAGGTTTCACCTAATCTGTACTTGTACTTTTAGGTTTTCTTGTCTAAGTGTAAGACCTTACTTTTCTCTATGTTAAATTTCCATTGTTCAAGTCTGTTGAGATCATCTAGATCAGGGGTGTCAAACTTGAAACCTGTGGGATGGATGGGTCATGTGCTGGCCACCCCCATCCGCATTTTAGCAAAAGGGAAAAAAGTTGTGATACATCATATGACAACATTGTGACACCGCGAGTTTGACACCCCTGATCTAGATCTTGAGCCTATCATCTAAGGTGTTGGCTATTACTGCCAGCTTAGTATGATCTGCAAATTTGATGAGTTCCCCTTCTTCTCCCTAATTGAAGGGGAGAGGAGAATTAAAGACAAATGCAGACATCCTGATTTTTTATTGGACAGTCTTTCAAGACGTCCTCCTGCTACTGCAGTTGATTTCTTCTGATTCAATCTGAGATAAAGTCAGCATTGGCTCGGATAATTGTCTTATATCTTTTATAGTACAGACAAATGCACATAATTCTTATCATTTCTCCGCAGTCTTCATATCCTCCAAGTATCCCTTTCACCCCTTTGTCATCTAACTCATCAACTGCTTCCTGGCTGGTTTTAAACTTTGAAAATATCTAAAAAAGTTCCTGTTGAGTTGTTAATTTGCTTTTGTCTTGAGTTCCTTTTATTGGATGGCTGATTGACAGCATTCTTTATTATTATCCTTCTCTTTTTCTGCCAGAGATTTTGCACCTCTTTTGGATTCCTACTTTCCGGCAAAATTAGGTTGGATAAGTTAGTTTCCCTTTTAGCTCTTAGATAGTATGAATCTAAAAGGACCCCCTTGTATTATATATCTAGACAGTGTGTAGTCCTGGTTTCCTTTGAAGCTTAGTATCTGGAGGTAAATCGAATTGCCTCCCTCCCAGTTCTCCTCCTTTGAAAAATTTATGTTTCTATTTGTTATCCTGGTGATGAGCTCAGACCATCTGCTCAGCAAAGAAGCAAACATCTCTGCAGCCAAAAAAACTACATAGCTCCACACAAGCAATCAAATAATCATCCTGAAAATTAGCAGATCTCCTCTACAATGCACCAACTCCCTTGCAAATTCCTCTGTACTTGTTATATTTTGGGCACTTTTATGAACAATATTTTTCTTCATCTTGTTTAGCAAATAGAGATTGTTGCTTCTTTGAAATTATGACTGAAATTTAAGAAATCAGAAGGTATCAATGTTCTTTTTCAAAATATCCACAACTGGTCTGGAAGTTGTTTGTCTTCTTGCTTTTGCTAATCTTGAAATATAATTATTTATGCTCATATATTTTTCTCTTTTTTCAAAATTTAATTTGCATCTTTGTTTTATCACTTTTTAAACTTGAGTAGAAATGGTTATTATCCATTGCTGGAGACTGGCCTAAATCAACTATTAACTCTGAAAAGGATTAGTTTTTCTGATATATGGTGGATAATGAAAATAAAAATAAAACTGATCACATACTTGATTTGTATGTAGACCAATTTTCAGATTCTCACCAATGTAACACTTAAAACTAGAATTTTATTTTAAGAAATAAAACCATGTTTTAATTAGCATTTCTAACATAAAGTTTATCTTTTCTTCTAGTACCAAGCAATAAAGTTTTCTATTGTTTTGGGTCAGCTGCTCATACAAAGCAATAGACACCTAGCAATTTAGACCAGTGTTTCCCAACTTATCAACTTTAAAACACGTAGGCTTTAGTTCTCAGAATTCCCCAACCAGCATGGCTGATTGGAGAATTTTGGAAGTTCAAGTCCACAAATCTTAAAGTTGCCAAGTTTGTGAAACACCAATTTAGACAATGCTACCCCAGAATTAAATCTATCAGAAGCAGTTTCCATTTAACATGGCATAAGAGGATAGTCTTCATGCATCAAAGATGCATTGTTATTCTTGAAAATTTAAAGAATTAAAACCAGGAACGTTATTATGTGACAACATTTGGAAAACTTACTTTAAAAATACAGCTGTTGGACATTTATGAAAATTCTGTATCTCCATAGCTTCCCCATATATTCATATATCTTTGAAACAGAGAAATTAAATACAACTCAGTTGTACTGGAGTTTAGTATTATCACTGACTTAACATTTCTTGAAGATTGAAAAAAGATACTTTAGATGGGTTGCTGATTGCATAGAAATGTCAGCTAGGAATTAGAAACTGACCTGTTTAGGTCTAGTTGTCATGTCCCCTTACGCCAGAGGTCTGCAACCTGAAACACTCAAAGAGCCATTTGGATCCGTTTCCCACAGAAAAGAAAACACCGGGAGCCACAAAAACCTTCCCGCGCCTGACTGTTTCTTGAGTGGCCACAAAACTAGCATATGTAGTTGAATTAAACGTTCTGTTTTCTTCTGAAACTTTTCTTTTCTTGGATTTATCCATGGTTGGCCTACCAGGGGTTGAAAAGCTCAATAAATCGCATGCCAGTGGGTGTTGTACATTGGCGGTTGTGACACATATTTTGAGTGACAGGGAGCTGCAGCAGAGGGGTGAAAGAGCCACATGCGGCTCCAGAGCTGCAGGTTGCTGATCCCTGCCTTAGGCTAACCATTTTCCCAATAAGATATTAATCAACCAATCGCATAATAGAAGTTCAAAATTTAGCTAAACAATTCCCTCTCCCTCCTCCTCTTTTTCTCCTTGCTGTTTTCCACTGATCGAGAGCCATTGATAAAGCAGCATCATTTTGTCATCTGTTTTTGCATTCATTCTCAACTGTCATGAGGGACCTTGTAGCAAGGACAGAGTTTTTTTGCTCTTGACGTGTTCGCCTGATGAATTCCATTCACACAATCAATGCCTGCCTGAAAAATAGTTTGCCAGTTGATAAAAGGCAGCATTGTTCTGACAAGATATGAGCTATATGAAGCACTGCACCTGACTAGATTCTCTTTCATCGTTCCATGAATCCAAAACAATTGTATTGCCGTTCCACTTTATATATTTTATTGTAGGCTGCTTCGTCTTAGTCTTTTCACAATATTGCAAATGACATACATTTCAGAAACCAAAGATCTCAGTGGAGGGCACTGTGGCATTTGATACACTTATGTATTTTGAAAAAATAAACATTGAAAAAATAAGACATTTTTGAGGAAAACTGAGTTCTTCCAAAAATGGGCAGATTATTAGAGGCAATTAAAAAAGGATAAAACAAACCTGAAGTGCTACAGAACTAATAGCAAGACAAGCCTGAAATGGTTTAACCAAATTATTTCCAAATTCATTTATTCTTAAGATTCTATGCAAGTTTATGTACCGTAACTGGTTTCCTAGACATTCTCCGAAACATTTCGCTTTCTTATAAACCAAAGCAGATTTAAGCATATGCATTTCCTTCTACTTTTCATGGTCTCCAAATCTGTTTTGCAAGAATTTTAACCACCTAGAGCTGATTAAGCAGAGTACATTTAGGGTAGCTGACAAATATTGTTCCTTCAATAAATGCATGATTATATTTGGGTATCTTCTTTAATCTAAAATCAATTTCCAGGGATAGAGCAATAAAGCTGCTTTACAAACTTCTGTAAGTAAAAAATAGTTTGGTCATGTCTTCAAATTTATTAGCTAATCAGAAACATGTTATGATTATTCCTACTCTGTTTTTTTTATTAGTTCACAGAGTGACTCAAATCTGGCATTAAGATTTCTCTAATTTCCTAATAATGTACAGCTCCATGTTATTTGGAAGGATTAAGCTAGTTTTTCCCTGACATGCTACTTTAATGTAAACAAGATATTCTGATTTGAAACATCCAATGCTTTACCACCAATTTAGAATAAGCTTATATTGACTATGCATGCTAGTTTTTAGTAGCCTCACTTAAAATGACAAATATCTGGCTTTAGTTATTTACCTATTGTTTGGCTATATACTGTCAAATAAATATAAGTGTTATTCTGTTTCATTTTTATAGTTCATATTTTCTTGAAATACTTAACAGATCTTATCTCTCTAAATAAAGGAAATGAAGAAACAAAACGATTATTGTAAGGAAGTCCTCAACACCCAACACAATTTACACACTCATACTCAATCAGATTTATTTCTAAATGAACATGTTTAGAATTTTTCTGATAATTGTCAACTTATCTATGAAACTTTATAACATCTCCAGAATTTTCATATATTGGAAAAATTGGAAAAAACATATTAAATGTAATAGGCTATATTTAAGCTAAACATTTTTTTCTGTTAAATCTAAGCACATGCATGTTTTTAGAATGTTTCCTGAATATAATGTTGGTAGGTAACAACTTTTACAGGATAAAAACTATATGTACAAATAATGCAGACCTCAATAAAATATTTTAATTTTATTATTCTGATACAGAAACCTTTGCATATCACTATATTTACATATGAAGTCAGAGGCTTCAAAAAAATTTCAGATTTTAAAAAATATAACAAGAAACTGGATTTCAGGTTGTATTTATGCTAGATGAAACAATTCTTTTTCTCATTTTCATTATATGATTTTATGTTAAATGATTCTTCCAAAATTTAAGTTCTGTGGTGCAGATTATTGGTTTTAAAGAAACTAATAACTTTGTTTCAACCTAAAGCAACATGTCTAATTTTAAAGAAAAACATACTTAGTACAACAAATGTGTAATTAAAATATCTTAAGCAACTGTTGCTTAAGAATGAAATTTGAGGAAGTTGTGGCTGCTTCAATGCTACTGGCTGCTGATGCACCTGCACTCCCATAATCTGACCTGCTCCCATTGTGTACCTTCCCTGACTCACACAGCATTCTTGTGCATCCCCATATGCCGTTCCTGAATGTGATGCTACCCAATGTGCCATTCCCCAATGTGACGTCTCTTGTGCATCCCTACACCCCGTCCCCAACCTGCACCCCTGCTGTGTGCCTTTCCCAACCTATGCAGTACCACTTGTGCACCCCTGCACCCTTCCCAGCCCACACTGCCCTCTGAGTGTTGTCCTTGACTTGCATGGTGCTTCTTGCAATCTTCCAAGCAATCTCAGCCACACTTCCTAATTCATGCCGCTCCCTTGCATGCTATCCTCAACTGATGCGGCACCCCTCACACACACACACACCTGCAACCTCCTCACATTCTTCCCTCTACAATCCCTTGCATGCCCTACTTGATTGCGCAGCATCTCTTACACACCTGTGATCCACTCACTCTTCTTGTTCTGAGTGCCCCCACCCCCCGCACAACCCACACAGTACCTCTCACCCACCCCCAGGCACCTTTCTTAGCCTATGTCACCCATCCATATGCTGTCCCCAACCCATGTGGCACCTATCATGCACCCCTTTGCTTCCTCCCTCCCATCCTCCCTCCCTCTTCCAGCAGCAGGCACTTACCTGCCTGGTGTTCTTGGACTTGCAACTTCCTGCTGGCTTCTCCGCTGATTTTTTCCCTGCAAGCTTCCCACAAGCAAAGTAAATGGGGAAGCTGACAGGAATTCGAGGGAGAGAGGGAGGGGAGAAAAATAATGACAGAATGAAAGTAGGATGGGAATGAAAGAGGAAGGAGGGATAGAGAGAAGAAAAGATAAAAGGAAGAAGGGAGGGAGGGAGGAAAGAGTGGGAGGAAGACAAGGAAGGAAAATAATGACAGAGGAAGAAGGGAAGGGAATGCTCTCTGCCAGCTTCCCACAAGGAAACTCAATGGGGAAGCCTGCAGGAAGTTGAAAATTGCTTCTGCTCCCATTGGTTTTTTGCCCAGCCATAGTCATTCTGTTTCTTGGTTTAGGTGAGGAAGTATCTCTGAAATAATTTTCCAATAGAGCACAGGTACACACTGACATTCCCAAATAGGGCATTCCAGCTGTATCTCCAAAGTGCAGCAACATAACACACATACGCAATCTGACATACACCCCTACCAGCATTGTATTCATCCTAGTTTTGGGGCTAATATAAATTTATTCATTTACATTCAAATTTATTTATTCATCACTGATATCAATACAAAGAATTTCATGTTATTTTCCCCTTAAAGACCAGAGCTTTTAATAGAAAAGTGTTTGCTTTCTTTCCAAATTTGCTAGTACAAATCTACTGGGAGTTTGATGCAGAGATTTCTTTGCTTTTTTGGGGGGGGAGGGGGTAATCAGTAAGATTGATGTGTTCATTCAGTTTGGCAGGCTAAGGAAAATCTTCCAATTAAAAAAAAAACTGATTTGGTGATACTGGCTACTGAATGGTCTGGGTGACTGATTAGAGCATTTTAATGGCAAGAATTTGACAATAATATGCCTTTTTTCTAGGTGTGCTCCACTTGTGGCCCAATTTGTCTACTTTTATGACATTGGCCATAATATTTTTGTATGCAGCAAAATGAATTAGGTCTCCCTTGGTCTGCCAAGCATAAATGATGGACTGTATTCCAGTTAGCATCTCTCATGTTATACAGGCCTACTTCAGCCCATCCTTATTTGAGCTGATAAAAATATAAAGAAACTGTACTTGTCTAAGGAAAATACTTCAGCTAATCTTAAATATAGTATCTTAATAATAAGGCTAGAAAATATACTCTAAATGTCCTCTGTCAAACAATGTCATCACAATAAGAAATAGGGGTCTTCATTCATGAAATATGTAATGACACAGAATTTTTCACCATCCTTCTGCTAAAAATAGATGTCATCATTTTTGAACTCTGGTAGACATTTGTATTTGCTTGGAGAAATCCGGACACAAGCCAAGTTAGGTTCACAGGGACAGCTGTGATGCATTCTTCTTCCCCAAAATGGAATCTGGAAAGAAATATTTAGAGTTAAAGCATAGGGCGACTCCCCCCCAAAACTAAGCAATGGCTTCAACCAACCACATACAGTATTATACGTTGGTTACTCAGTTTTTGGAGGATACTTCTGTTAGTTACAAATATTATACTATTTTCTCTGTCTCCTTAAAGAAGAGATATTGGATGTACTAGAAAACAAATGGTAGTAAATAAACATGATTAATAAAGAGGAGTGAAGCAGTAACTACAAACAAGAAATTATTCTTTCTGCATAACCTGCAATAAATAGGACAGTGTAAACATGTCTAAATCTATCAGTTAATAGACATATTCATGATATAATGGTGCCTTTTCCCATCTTCTGCTCTAAGAATATGAATTCTGGGGGTGCGATTGTAACACATTTATAAATTCCAGAAGTTTAAATCAAATTTAAATTTAAAAAAGCTTAAGTTAACAGGAGATTTGATCCACTGAAATTTATGCTACAACTTTGTGATTTTTGTTCCCACTTATTTCAATGGGGATTGTGCAACTAACAGTCTGGATTCAACTTTTAACTTAGAAGTTAAAGGAAGTTTTTGAAATAAAAATAAAAATATTTGTTTAACATCCTTTCACATCACATTCTATGTAAAATTCTTTGGCCAACACTGGGTATCTTTAGGTATTACAAGAGGAACTTTAGTCATAGTGACCATCATAATTTAGTTCAGAAAGGTGGCAATTAGGAACTCAATAGAAAGCACTCAATTTAAAAGAAGTACCCCAGTATAAGGAATAGATGACCTGATTCCTTCCAGTTGTTTGAGATCACATCTTTCATGTTGTCTTGGTGGAGTTCAAATTAAAATCCATCTGAAAGCCATCATGTTGCTTGCCACAGATCAAAGAAATATTTGTTTCAAATATGATTTTTAAATAAACTTCTCTGTCTAGAAGAACATAAGGATCTAAATATCCTAATAGTTTGGCCGTTGGCCAAACAGTGTCAGCTGGTGGCCCCCAGGGGGAGAGCCTTCTCTGTGGGGGCACCTGTTATCTAGAATGAGCTCTCCCCGGAGATACAGAGGATCCCAGATTTACGCACCTTCTGCCGCGCCCTTAAGACCTTTTTATTTCAACAGGCTGGCCTGGCCTAACTTTCCCTTTTAAACGGTATATGAGTAATTTTAAATCTGTTTTTAAATATGGGGATGTTTTAATTCGTCTCGGGCCAAATTTTTATACTGTTTTAAATTTTATAATCTGTGTGTTTTATCTTTTTGGCTGTTCACCGCCCTGAGTCCTTTGGGAGTAGGGCGGTATATAAATCTAATAAAATAAAAATAAATAAAATAAATATTTCTCCTTTAACAAATTTTTTTAAAAAATTTTTTTTAAATTTTTAAAAATGGTTAAAACAAGATCAAGTAAAAGTAGATAATAACATGCTGATCAAGTTCTATAATCCAAAACACTAGTTCACCTAAGATCTTTTATAAGGATATTGTACAATATGAATAATGATAGAAAACTTTCTTAACTTTTGCAAGGAGAATATTATTTTATACAGTTTGGTTTATAGCTAATAATTCTATTAAAATTTTACTCTATATTTAACATTATAAAAGAACCAGAATATTATATAACACACTAACTTTATGACTTAAAGGATGACAGTCTTCTCCAAAGATGCCCATTGGTGTGCAAATTCGAAGACTTTGGATCCAGAGACTAACAGCACAGCACATGCCTCCACCACATTGCAGATCTCTGTCACAAGCCTTAAATGTAATACACAGATATATAGCATTAGATACAGAAAAGAAATACTAAAATAATCTCAGGTTATTCTAATTATTTGTTCATATATCTAAAAGAGAGATGTTGTTTACAAAAAGATAAAATCAGAGACATAAATGTGAGCAAGCAACTACTGAAATAATTTGAGTTAATTCGCATTGCTACTGCAATGTTTAGTCAAGGTGGTCGTTGCTCTCCAAATATCTCCTAGAGCAGTGGCCCCCAATCTTTTGGACACCAGGGACCAGTTCCATGGGGAGAGGTTTTTCCCCTGACCAGAGGGGGTGTGGTTTCACATGCTGCCTGCATCCCATGGATAGGGCTTCACTTGTTTGCGTGGACCGGTTTCTGGCATGTCGCGGACCAGGGCCTGTCCAGGAGCTGTTGGGGATCCGTTCTAGAGGAACCCTACATCTAATGCTGTAAAAGCTGCTGCTTCTCTAACAGTGAGCCACAGTTTCTCTTGGTACCTGCTTGTCATTGAAGGAATGTATCAGGATGAAACATGCTCTGCCTCATCTATTGATGGTGGACCTAGAAATTCACTTCCCAGGATTCCCAACTTTGAGATAAAAAATCTCTGTCTTGCATCCTCCAGGCATATATTTCAAATAAATACATACATCTTACTCCCTAACATAAAAATTAGATGAAGACTACTGTTTCCTAAGTGGGAAACAGATAGATTTCCCGTAAGAGAGATAGCCCCCACCTACCTTATGTCAGCTCCATAAGGGAGACTAGACTAAGAAACAGACACCCTGTAGGCCTAAAACTATTTTTATTAGAACAGCTATAATAACAGAATTCTGCAAGTCTGAATATGCTTCTCCGTCTTTTATCTTCATGTGATGGGGAGATTGTCTGAAGCATTTTTGTCCTTTATCATTACAAAAGGGTTGACTAGAGGAATTGCTCATCTTTCCCCATCTCTTTGAAGAACGTCTGAGTGCATTTTGCCTGGAAGTTCTGATAATTTAGTGATATTGCCAAAACAGTGTCTGTGTTCTTTTCATATAGCCAACTAAACAGAGAAGGTAGATACATAGATATAGCTTTACCTAGAGAAATGAGCAATACAAGTAGTCTTTGAGTTACGCCCATTCATTGAGCAACTGTTCCAAGCTAGGGTGGTACCGAACAAATGATACATACAGCCATTGCAGCACCCCCATGGGCACAAGGTTAACATTTAGCCAATCTCCTCTAGAAATGTGTTCTTGATGCCAGGAAAGTGAACCTGGAATTTCTTAACTATTGAACTTACAAGACACGCCCAGCCTGGCCCTTTGCAAAGAAAAAGAAAGAAAAAAAATGCTGAAGGCAAGAGAACTTTTTGGTTTTGGAATCAAGGATTCTCTTTTCTTTCTTGTTCTTTCTTCTCCTCTTCATCCTCCTCCTCCTCTCTTCCTTCCTTCCTCCCTCCCTCCCTCCTCAGTGAATCTGTTAGATGCTATTTCAGATAAATCATAGGTTTCTGGGTATGGAATTATATATATGTATATGAAGAGTTTCTTTTATATATTTTTATATTACTTTAAAAAATCAACTGAATGGATTTACATGAAACACATATGTTCTATAATAGATATAAAAACCAAACAGTTTTAATAAAGTTGTAAATATAGGCATAAAAGGCAATGAAAGGCAAATTGAAAATGGAGTACCAGCACAAGTAATTTTAGAGATATGAGTAAAAATGAGAGACAAAGTATTGTTTTAATTTATTTAATAAAATGTTTCCAGGGAAATATAGGAACAGATTTGATGTTGGCAAATATGCAATGATTTGAATTACTGAGGACTGCACTGTTATATTACTGCACTTATTTTGGCTTCTCTTTTATTTCAGGTTTTAAGATTACCAAATATTATAAGGTTTTTCCACAATGGCATAATAAATAAGTGGAATGACTTTATGAGCTGATAATGGTGCTGAGGGACACATTAATGCACATTAAAACAAATGTTCTGTTTAGAGGGTTTCATTATGAATATAATTACACTATATTCTACTGCATAACTATGTGATTTCAGCAGTAAAATTGATAGCATCACATGTATTTATTAAATAGCTGTTGTCTGAGGAAAAAAAAAAGTCGAGATTCTCCACATAATAATATTGCAATTCAGGAATACAATTGTATTATATTGAAAATTAGGAAGGTAGGCTTCCAGTGTGAGTCCTGACTGACTGAAGAATTCTTTGTGAATAAATGGAGACAACTGCTGTAAAGAATGAAAGACTGGCAAGTAGACTGTCCCTTTGAATCTCTTGGGAGAAGGAAAGATTGGGAAATTGCCCATGAGTGCTCTGAATGGTAGTTTTCTTGTAAGGAAACTGACTGTAAAACAGCAATCTCTTGTGGTTCTGAGCGCCAGAGGTTGAGGGAGATGATATCTCAGATCTCACCAGTGACAGACCCTTTCATAAGGACACTAAGCCAGCTAAACTTACTTTCTAATCATATTCAGAAAAGTTCAATTTAATCACTTTATAGATATTAGAGACCTTCAAAATAATGAGCATCTGGTGAGTATTACTTTCTTATTTGGATTTAATACATTTTAAACAGAAGTTAAGAGTTTTAAATAGTATACGATTGACAAAAGCAAAAGAGGGAGATTTTGGTTTAAAAAAGTTTTAAACAGAGTGGAAGATCAAATATATTTGGAGTATTGGTTATTTTTGTGGTAAGATTTTTTTTAAAAAAAATAAGTACCGTGTTTCCCTGAAAATAAGCCCCTGTCTTATATTTTTTGAACCCCGAAATAAGTGCTTGGCCTTATTTTCAGGGATGTCTTATTATTTTGGGGTGCGTGGAGCAAGACGGGGCTCCTCTTGCCATCTTACCTGATTTCCAGCTCTGTGGTTCTAAACCTAACCAGAGGAAATGGTGGAGACCGGCTGTACATGCATTTAAATATTGGGGGGGGGGCTTATTTTCAGGGGGGGCTTATTTTAGCACATGTGCTCAAAAGCCTGATTGGGCTTATTATTGAGGGATGTCTTATTTTAGGGGAAACAGGGTATATAATTTACTAATATACTTGTGGGAAATGACTGAAACTGAACTAACCCCCTATTAGAAACTAAAGTTTGATGAAGGTTGCAAATGGATACTATAAAAAACTAAAGGATGGGACAGAAAAAGAATTAAAATGGCTAAGCCTAACTTTTTCTTAAGGAGTTTTTTTTGAAACAGGGACTGAAATATTAATACCTAATACAAAGGATACAAATTTCAATGGATAGACTTTTAGAACATAATGAGAAAAACTTTAAAAATGTTTACCTATACAGACATTGTAGAGTTCAAACGCATGGAAAAAATTGCGATTACCAAAATACGAATACAAAAGACAAATCAAGAAAAGGATCTGGATATGGAACACCTGTGACAAGAAACCCTAGACAATGCTTATGGGATTTACAAAGTGGGTTAGTGAAAGGCTTGGTTGAAGGCTCCTTTTAAATGCAAAAATGTGATGATAAATCAAATCGTGCAATACCATTATAATGATTTTAAAGATCAAGATTGTGTAGAGCAAAAATGACATATAAATTTGGGCTACTTGAACAGGGATAAACTATTGATATTTCTGGACCTTTTGCTGAACTGGGATTGAAAAGATGATTTCTGGGTTTCATATAGATAAAAATTAGATAAAAAATAAAAAGGGAGAAGAGATTTTTTTTAAAATTTGCAACTTTAAAAAAGAGTGAAAGTCTGTATATTAACTTATGCCTGGTGTGTCATGAATGTTCAAAGCCACTTCTTCATTATTGTCTTTGTTGCCTTTTTCTTTTGTCTTCTACCTTTTTCTTTTTCATTTTTCTGCATCTTCTGAACTTTTATTTTTCTTTTGTTTGTATTAGTTTTTACTATGTTTATTAAACATACTGTAGTCATATATACTTTAGTTTGTATTAGCTTTTACTATGTTCATTAAGAACTTCAATTAAAGCATTAACCAGAAAATTAAGACAAAAAATTAGATCCATTCGTAGAGCAATGTAAAAAAAAAAAAAACCTAATTCAGCCTCCAAAAAAGGTTTCCTTGTCATTACCTTCTTATCAACATTTTAATTCAATGATCTTATATATCCATGTTTCTTTCTTTTTTTTTAATTTTTTATTTAATAAACAAACATACATATACAGACGTAGACATTTAAACAAACTATACATAAACTAACTATACAAAAAGGTCAAGTCTTACAGCTTGAACTTTAAAAATAGAGCTACTTCGGTAATTATATATCTATATATCTCTATATATTTATCTTTCATCATGTATCAATGTTTATACAACGATATTTCATTTTATTTCCTTATTTTTGTATCATTGGGTGGTATTCCCTTATTTCGTATTCTTTTTATCTAACCAGTTGTACCATTTCTGCCAGATTAAATAATACTCTGAATCTTCTTTTCCCTGTATCTCTTTGGTAAGTTTGTCCATTTCCGCACATTCCATTGTTTTTTGTATTATTTTTTCCTCTGATGGCGTGTCCTCTAGTTTCCACATTTGTGCGAAAGTGATTCTGGCTGCGGTCAGGATATGTATTATCAAGTATTGTGTCTCTTTTTTATAGTCCTTTGTCAGTATCCCTAGTAAATATGTTTGCGGTCTGAAGGGCACTTTTTGGGTGGTGATTTCTTCCAGCTGATTTTGAATTGTTTTCCAAAATTTTTTGGCCTTTGGGCATGACCACCACATATGGTAGTAGGTCCCTTCTGTGTTTTGCACTTCCAACAGTTCTGATTTGCATTGGGGAACATCCTTGCCAGGCGTGCGGGGGGGAGATGCCACCTATAAAACATCTTGTCTGTATTTTCTTTGTAGGGCACGGACATTGTCAGCTTAGTATTTACCTTCCACATTTTCTCCCAATTTTCTAGGTTAATATTATATCCAAAATTTTTAGCCCAAATAATCATATTTTCCTTCACCACTTCTTCTTCCAATTTGTATT